TTTTACTCATAAAAAGTATAACTCTCGTCTTTACAAGCATTAAAGTTAAACCTAGCCAGAATAACCAATAGATCATAAAGTGGTATAGAAGACTAATGTTACCATAACAAAAATGCGACAAAGAAACCTATGAGAAATGATATTTTGACACACAAATTTGACAACAAATTGCGAGAAAATTTTAGATGGTTAACGCAAACCAATTATGGGATTTCTTATGTGTTGCAACCCATTAACCAACTACTAAACGTAATTAACCACAACTTTTAGGTGTTCATCATATACACCATATTTATAAATTGTGTTGAAATATACATGATTTTCATGTGTTCAACTAAACTATCGATTGACCACGACTTTTAGTATCAGGGATCTAACAGAACCACATTATTCTATTAAAAAAGAAGAAACACCGTCACATTCATTCAAAATGTGAAGGATTTTGTATACTACATAAATAAGTTTTGCAACAACCTGTGCTAAAGGTGAAACTCGGGGACTGATCCCTCCTTCGCGTTCCATTTGTGCTACAGTACAAGCTATTCTGAGCTCCCTGATTGCAGCACAAATTTCATATAATGCTCCACGCATACATTGGTATTCTAAATAAATCTCTAAAAATATAATAATAGTCACCTTAATGTTTCTCCTCCAAGGATAGCTGCTAAAAACAGGCCATCTGGCTTCAATGCCAACATAGACTGCCAAACATGAAAAATCACATTAGAATAATAATAAATGACATTATAAATGAAATTTGATAAAGTGAAAGAAAGAAGATTTGCGCGTTGACTAGATTGTGTTGGGGAAAATGAACCCCTAAACTTTATTCTTACTAATACTAAACTCTTAGTTGTAATTTAAAATAAAATTAAAATTGTCAAATATAAGAAACATGGAAACCAATCCTAAAAAGATAATCTTAGATGTTCTAAATTACACTAAGATCACCCAAATATTATGACAGCACGAAATTGCCCTTTTAACAACTATGAAATTGATTTAACAATCAAAATACTTGAAGACAAAAAAAAATAAATCATGACAACACAATTTGTGCCTTCAATATGCTATGAGTGAGTGATTCCACCAAACTCCTAAAGAGACAAAAAACCGAAAAACAAATGCCATGATATTGCCTCCACGAATTTTTCTAGCATCATTTGATGCTCTTTTTGGGACACTAACAGGAAACGGTGAAGTGAAATACAAATAAAGCTAATAAGCACATCAATGACCACAACTGTATAAGAAAGTTTACTTGTATCATTGCTCCTGGAAGATCATTAGTCCAGTGAAGGCCCAAGCAACTAATAACCAAATCCACTGAGCTGGAAAGATACATGTAAAACAATTCAAAAGGAAAATGTTAACATAAAATCAATGTCAAGTGTAATGTCATCATTAAATATCAAGTGTAAATTATAAGTGTAACTAAATACAAAGCCAACTCCTGCACCTTTCTTTGATAGGCAAGAATTCTTCATCACCAACCAAAAACATTGTCTCCATGTTATTGTTGATGGACTCATGGTAATCATTTTTACAACGTTGTACCATGTCATAGGATGCATCCATGACAATAAGCTTTTCTATGGAATCTGTGATCAACCATTTTCATTATAATTTCATCCACATTTAGAATTCAAGTTAGCAATATTAGCAGGCACATATATTACACAAGTCAAATAATCCTATATTTTGAATAAATTATTCTCTCCTAATCATTCTCAATAAAAGAAGTTTTCAAAATGATAATTTCAAAGACAATGAAGTGTAGTGACCAGGGAATCACTATGTCGGACAAATCCACTGACACTTTAGTTTGAAGGTGTGCCAGATCTCTAACACTGACACATTACATTCAATCACTAATATCTTCACAAATTAATACCAGAGTCTACGAGTCAGTGTCGTATCTGGTGTATGTGTGTCAGTGCTTCGTTGATCATGGAAAATGCTAGAGCAACAAGTATCATAGACAACACATTCCCCACCGATGTAGTGTCTCCTGTCTAGTGTCAGACATGTGCCCGGGTCCCACACCGACACATGTATTTATTTATATTCAACCACACTTCAATTTACTCAAAGTATTTCTGATTTTTATGTGTATGTTGTGTTTCATTGATCAAAAAGATAACAATGTTGTCAATAGCAGATTGTAGAAAATATTAGTTTGTTCAAATTTTGCAACACTACAATGCTATAACACCACTATACAGGCAATTTGGCAACGCCTTGTACTAAATAGTGTATAACAGAACAACAGCGATATGTTCAAAGTCTGCTGCGCTATAGCATTGTACCACCACTACAGCAGCTGTTTGACAACAGCGATAGATAATATTGGAGCAACTATTAAGACCGGTGATACACTCCCAAATGAACTTTTCAATTATAATGTGTTTAGTTACTCATTTTCAAAGTGGTGAGACCTACATACATGAAAATAGTTTTGTTTCTGCTACTGCTAGACAACAGTTTTAAAAGATGGCACTCCTGCAATATAGAGTAAAGCAATAGATGGAGTTGGTGTATATTTGGCTGTTCTTTAGACGAATTGGTTTTGTAACTAGAGTTAATTCTAACTTAACTAGAAATTGGAGCCTGTGATTCTAGAATTGATTTTTAAACTCACATTTATCAGTCAACTCACTTTTAAATAAATATATTCGAACATAAATCACTTTATTTTCAAATCGTTTTTAGTCATAGAATCAATTTAATCACTTTATTTTCAAATCGATTTTAGTCAGAATCAATTAAATCACTTTATTTTCATATCGTTTTTAGTCCGAATCCATTTTACATAATTATTTTGTTATAAAGGCAACACATTCCCTATCAATGTAATGTCTAGTATGCGACACTAATAGGTGTAGTTACATTCAACTATGCTACTATTTAGTCAATGAGATTGTGTGTGTTGTGTTTCATCAATCATACACACTCTCCAATACTCTAAACTATCCATTAACAATGCAAGTTCAGTTGCTCGGGTTCTAAGTGGTGGAGTAATGCAATGGAAGGAGTAAATTAGTTACCTCGGCCGCGAAGAGAGCGTGTGATTGCGTGCAATGAACCTCCTAAACATAAGGCTGAGGGAAAAATCTTCTTACAATCCTAAAAAGATGAATAGAAGTTTATAATAATAACAATCTATTACAATAATTTGAGTAGTAATTAGAAATAATTTGGGGGAAATAACCCTATGGAACGAACCTGCAAGCGATCTAGTAGATTATCAGCAACGGTATGAAGTAAAGGATCGTTTTGAGGCATCAACCATGCGGCACGGTCACGCTGCATCAATTACATGAATGGAAAGTAAGTGAAAGAGAAAAGAATGAAAGAATTTAGAGAAAATAAGAGAGAAGAAGAAGAAGAACCTGGTTGCGTTTGAGTTGGCGATCGAAGATGTTGAGTTTAGAGGTTGTTGAGAAGGGGACAGAGAAGTTGGTTTTGCGAAAGAAGGAAAATACTGTTCGTTTTATCATTTTCACTTTGAATCACTGTTCACTTTACGAAAGTAATGAACGCGAAATCGAAGAACCGAATGGTGTAGATGGGCGGGAACGGCGACGGCGTGCAAAGGCAGTGGTGGTTTGAGAAACCGGTCACAATGCAATGGTTCTTTTTTTAACTAAAAAATGGAATTTTTTTTTTTAGAATCATACACCCGTATTTTTCTTTTTAAAATGGTGGATATTTTTTTAATCAATACCAAAAATATCCTTTTTCCGTTCCATAACGAGAAAGTCACTCAATTTTTCAAATAGATTAAAAAAAAGAGAATAAATGAATAAGAGAAAATGATATTTTTATTAAAGTACATTTATAATGTATTGAAAATTATGAAAGTAATATTAATTAGAGGCTAAAATAGAAAAAGTTGTATTGAAAATTGAAATGAATCATACATTTTAAAACACTATTTTATTACAAACGAGTCATTTATTATGGAACGGATGGAGTATTAACGATTAAATAGATAAAAAAGAGACATAATGCCTAACCTTTAGAGAAGATCAACAAAACCGAAAATTTGGTGAGTCTAAATGGTTACAAGTAAAATTCTGTAATATCGGATTTGGAATAGAATTTAACCAACGGAATCTCTCAGTGGAGAGACTTAAGTTTGCAATTTTGTCTGCACAATTGTTGCCTTCACGGTAAATATGAGAAACCATGAATGTTAAGTTAGACACAATCTTGAGGCAATTTAACCACCTGTTTCTTAACTTTCAAGAAACGATTTTAATGTTAAAAAACTTGACAAACAGGCTTGAAATCTGTTTTCAACCAAAGATGCGACCAACCATTATGTGAAGAGATTTATATGGCATGCATTGACTAATCAATTCAGCATGGAAGGCAAAGGAAGTACCAATGTTAATGGTAAATGCACCAAAAAAGTTAGAGTTTCTAAAGTGGTCTCCACTTGCAACAGGATTAGGGGCACCATGAGCAGCTCCATCACTATTGCATTTTATCCAAAGATTTGTAGGGGGTCCACAAGACTTCAATGATCTTTGGAGCTTTAGGAGGATGAAGGAACACCTTGAAAGCTTTGAGGATACTGAACTCTTTCATGGAGTTGGAGGAGGTATCTTTGGTAGCATTTCTAGATAGCGAAACAAGAGAGACAATGTTAGAGATTGTGGTTTTTCACTGAGGTTTAATGTTATCATACTTTGCCAAATTTCAATCATGTCAAATGTTGTTTATTGTAAAGGTGATTGTTGCAAGATTATAACTTTTGTTTGAGCAAGCCAGTGTCTTTGAGAAATGCTAAGAAGACTGAAAAAGTTGGTTGTATAAATGTTAAGGTTTAGGATGTTGCTTAGTCAATTCCATATGTGTAAAGCATAATTACACTCATATAATAGATGTTGAATTGATTCGACACGTTTGTTATAGTGGTAACATCCAGAAGCCAATGAGATTCCTCTTTTAATGATAACTTCATTTGTTGCAATCTTGTTATGCAGTATCTTTCACACCAATAGAGATTTCGATGGAGGAATTGCTAAGTTCCATAAGGTAGAACTCCAAGGAACATGTTGACCAGCAGGAACTAGGTGCAGGTAAGCATCCTTCATAGACAAATATCCATATAATGAGTGATTCCAGTTTTTAGCATGAACAAGAAAAATGCCCCTAGGGTCTGATGGGTTTGAGGGCTTTTTCTTCCAAACATATTGGGACATTGTTGCTCATGATGTAATTGAAGCCATTTATCAAGGTAGGAATTACTTCATCAATTAATCCATTATACTAGACACTGTTGCAACTATTAAAGCTAAGTTTGAAGTGATTGACAATAAATTGAGTTCCTAAAAATCTGTCATGATGTGATCACCATCTCTAATAAAGTTGTAAGTCAGATAGAGTTAACCATCGTTAAATTTACTTTGCAATATATGTTTTTTAAGAATTTCTTTCCTTCAATTTTTGATAAAAGATATGTTGTTTTTCTCAAATTCTTAAATATATTTAGTAATTAAATTTTGAAATATAAGAAGGGTGATATTTGTATTATTTTATTGTGTTAGATAGATAAAATAGAGTTAACATTAGATTTATATTAGATTTATTGGAGAATAAGAATTGAAGTTTTTGTGCTTAACCCTTTTTTTATTTGATATTTAACCATTTAAAATATCAAACAGAGAATAACTTTTAATACTGTCATGTTTAATCCCTCAATTTTCAACAAAGCAAAATCACTAAATAAGGACATAATGTAAAATTTTAAAATTTTCAGTAATTAAAATAAGAGTTTAATTAGTATACACTAGCCGTTTAAAATAATTTTACACAGTTATTTAATAGTATTAATCTGTCATATTATACTCTTAACTTAAAAATTACAATTTAATGTGGCAGAATATACAAGGGTGATTGATTGACGGTGTAAAATAATTTTATAACTATGAATATATATCAATTAAATTTTAAAAATATAAACATAAAAATATCTAATTTGAATTAATTAATTATGAAAAATGAATTATCCCCCAAAGGCTACCTCCACATGTATGTAACTAAGACCAAAAAAGAGAACAAACATGTCGTTCCAATGCTCCATCTCTAACTCAGTTCACTACTCTCTCTGCGGCATAACATCAAACAACGTCACCACCATCCCAATTTCCACTCCCAAACTCAAATGCAGCACCATTAACAGATTCAAAATTCTTGCAAAATCAAATTCAGATTCAACACAATCCACTTCAACTTCTACATCCGTTCTCTCTTTCCTTTGTCCCCTCCTCAAGCTTTTCTCTGTAATACTCTTTCTTAATTATCTCTTTCTTATTCATATCTTTATTATTTGTTGTTACTCTTTTATCGGATGCTTCTTCTGGCAGGGAGGAGATCCTTCTGGACAACGTAATTTTGCTTTGGAGGTGAGATGCCCCTTTTAACAATCTCATCAAGTTTACTTCTAAGTTTTTCTAAGGGTTTAGACCTAAATCATGAATGAAGCAAAATAGAGGACTAAAATTGTATCTAATCTTTAACTAATTGTTGCCTTTATATGCACTATAGGTTGTTTCGTAACATATTATATCCCTAATACGACTCCGACACTGAGACGGTGACACAAGTAATAGGTTAAAAAAATGAATAAATTAAACGTAATTACAAGTGCCGGTGTAGGTGTTTGATACTGACACGGACACGTCTTTTTTAGAGGTGTCGGTGCTATATAGATTACATTGAGGGCAATGCATTTTGTTTTATCATAAGAATCACAAGAATAAAGTATAAGAATCACGTGTAGCAGATATAAATGTTGTGTTGGATGTGTGCTAAGATTAGACCGGATAAGAATATAAATGAAAATATTAGAGTGTTGGGGCAGCGTCTAGTAGAGAAGATGTTGGAAAATTGACTTAGGTGGTTTGGGCATGTAGAGAGAAGACTTGTTGGTTTTGTGGTAAGGAAAATAGATCAGACGGAGAGAAGTTAAACAACTAGAGGAAGAGGAAGACCTAAAAAGACTATAAGAGAAGTTATTAAGAAAGATGTTGAGATTAACGATATGGACAAAATCATGGTCTTCGATAGAATATTATGGTGAAAGTTGATCCATGTAGCTGGCTCCACTTAGTGGGATAAGGCTTGTTGGTTGTTGTTGTTGTTGGACAAGTGTATGTATTACATGTGTAATGAAAAGGATTCTCATATGTTTTAGAAAAACTATGAGAAGGAAGTTTTTGGCCAAAATATTCTTAATATGTTAATCATTCACAAGTGTGTGTAGTACATGTTGTTGTGGGACTTTTAGTAGATTTTTTTAAATGATAAAGTTCTTATGTTCCTGTCATAGAGGTCTTCGCCTTGTGAATGAGCATAAAGTCAAGTAAATGTTAAGGATTATCTATATTTTGCATACATCGTGTAAGTGACTAATCTTTGAGTTTTGATGATGATGATGATAGTTAGCAACATCTTCCTTAGCCAGCACATCAAGGTTCGCATGGGGAAGGAAGTCCATAGTTGAGAGTACGAAGAACAATGGGATGGCTTCAAGTCCTCCTATTAGCTTGCAGCTTTTTGAATTTGGTATGTCTTTTTCTTGCTTTAGATAGGGGTTATGGAAGAATCCTTGGTGACACTAGTGCTTATTTTTTGGATAGGCAAGTGTTAGTATTTTCTTCATCACTTGAATTTGTTTCTCGGTCCTTTAACTCTTTCATCTACTCTAACCCCAGTTCAAACCAGGCGATGATATTGCTAATATGCAAACCTTTTTTATTCTTCTTTGACTTAGTTATTGAAATTTATCAATATTCTAGGAGTTAATTTATTTCTATTAGTGAAATAATCATGCTTGGTCTCCATGTTGATAATGCTATTCCATTTTAGAAGTTTCATTTACTAGTCCTACAACTGAAACTCTATTCAAACTGACTCTCAAACTTTTTTCTTTTTTTTTTTGGTTTTTACTACTGCTCTTTTATCAATGAAGTTTGTAATTGTCCCTTTCTAAATCTTTCAAACTTTTTCAACAGAGGCATGCCCCTTTTGTAGAAGGGTACGGGAGGCCATGACTGAACTAGATCTTTCTGTAGAGGTTAGCTATACATTCATCACATACACCACATTCAATATCTATTTGTTCTTTTACGTGAGTTTTGCCTTCTCATTTCATCACAATTATCCATTACCGTCATAATAGGCTCCATGATTTTGAGGTCTATGAATCTAGAGGGTTAGCGTTTCATCATTTTAATTATTATGCTATCGAGTATGAAGCACTGACACAGATACGAACATTGAACACGATGCTGATACTGATACTGTCACGTAATTATGTTGACACAGATAAAAATTTGAAAAAATGAAGTAATCGATGTAACTGCTTGTGTTGGTGTTTGAATTCCGACCCTGACATCTCTCTAGCACCGATTACGCCTTCAATCTGAAGTGTTGATGCTACACAAAAAACTTTTGTTGGGTCACTAGTATTCAGACAAGTTTCAAAAGAATTTGATTTAATGTCATACTTATATCTGTGACGTTTGAATTGATTTAATTTGTGATTGACTTCTGTCTCTGAGTTCCCCAAATATTAATACTATTGGTGTTGTCAATAGGTGTATCCTTGTCCTAAAGGTTCTGTAAGACACAGAGAGGTGGTCAGAAAAACTGGCGGCAAAGAGATGTATGTTGTTCTCTATGATATTTTTGTTTGATTTTAATGGTGGCATAATATGGCGGCCTTTTCCCTTTACACCATCTGCAATTGATAAACTGGTTCCATCCTATTCCCTGAAAATTGAACGGGATGGGGAGGGGGATGCTTGAAGAAATAGAATGAAATGCATTCCACCATATTTTATTCCATTTCATCATATCTGAAGCAAACAAAAAAAATAATGAAATCTATTATCATTCCCTTCCGTTCCTTGTTATTTCATTCCTTGCAATCTATGTAGCACTGACCCCTTTGAAAATTGGCATGTCCTCGTACGTATCGGACACCAACAATTGTGATTACCTTTAATTTATTCATTTTTCAAATTATTACTGGTCGGTGTCGTGTTCGGAGTGCCTGTGCTTCATAACTTGCCACCAATCCAAACATATTTCAATGCATTCCACCGCATTCCATTCCATTCTAACATGACATTCCTATCTCAGGCCATATTAGTATTGTACCTCAAATTTTTATATTTCATTTTTGTATTTTCTATGCCGATTGATCATGGAAAAAAACTTCAATAGAACTTACATCTTGATTTCTATTACATTTTTGTTGCATGTATGCATTTTCAACATTACTGGTATAATAGTGTGATGCTCTTGTTATCTTAAAACTCAAATACTTTTTCTATTTACATATGCTGTCACGTTGTTCTTTTTGTAGGTTTCCTTTCCTCATTGATCAAAATAATGGCATTACTATGTACGAAAGCAGTAAGAAAGGAAGCTTTCTCCTTATTCTTTCTCCAAACTCTTTCTGCTTATGTCTAGTCATTAGTGAGATTGCAATAAATCGCCAACATTTTCATAGTTGTTAAACTAGTTTGGAATAACTCATCTCAATGGTTTATTATTCTTTTCCAATGTCTTACCTATGTTTCCGATTTTGCCCCTTTTCAGTTGTCTTTGTAAATGATTTTAACTAATTCAATCCATTGAATATTGTGTACTTTCTTGTTGCTTTCTGTAGGCGATATTGTAAAATACCTGTTTGAGCAATATGGAAAAGGTAGAGGTCCATCATTGGGACTTTTAGAAAGGTATAGAACATAAATCTCCTTTTCGATGAATATATAAAATAGTATTAATCACAGTTAGAGACGTAGATGCAATTGGCCGAACTCCATGGTCATTGGTCAAATATCTTGTGTTCTGTGTTTTCCACATTTTTCATATTTGTTTTATTTTCTCTTAATACTCATTCTTTTGCAGCACTATTTTCACCGGATGGATGCCGACAATTCTACGAGCAGGTAGAGGAATGACACTGTGGGAACGTTCTACAGTTGAACCTCCCCCTAGAAAGTTGGAGCTCTTCTCATACGAAAATAACCCGGTAAGATAATGCTTGTCTATGTCCAATTTCTGGGAGGAAATGCAAACATATAGAGAACTTAATTTATTTGCTCAGCCTTGGTTTAATATTAAGGATCATAAGATTTGATATACTTGTCATGTTTTTGTCTAACTTTATACATTTCAAATTTCGTTTTTCTAGAATGCTCGAATTGTTCGCGAGGCATTATGCGAATTGGAACTTCCTTACATTCTTCAAAATGTAGGAGAAGGATCTCGACGAACAAAGTTACTCCTGGATGCTTCTGGATCTAAAGAGGTAAGAAAAATTTGTTGGAACTTAATTCCATTTAAGCTTTAATTGAAATGAAATTCGTATGCTTCTAAATCCTTACATGAATATGAAAGTTGTCTTCTACAGGTTCCTTACTTTGTTGATCACAACACTGGATTTCAATCTGGTGATTACAAGATCATCTTACCCTATCTGTTCAAAACCTATTCGTCGGCTAATTAATAGTTTTCACTTTCTTGAAATGAAAAACTTTTTGTGCTTTCACAATGACTTTCTTGTAATGTGTGATGAACAAATCCTCTCGATACATGCAATGGAAAATTGTAAAGAAGTAATTATACAAATTGTAAAGAAGGTAAGTTTTGGTTATTTATGAGTCAGACAGAAATCTGTTCAATTAATGATTAACATAGCATAGATCACAAGCGGGAAGAGCAACAAGTTCTATAACAACATGTCAATGATATAACCAATGATGAGGCCATGAATGGAAATGATGAGTGATGCAAACAGAATGAAAACATACATGTGGCAGAAGATGCACATATCGAGAAAGTAAGGAGCCCCTGCGCGCACACACACAGAGAGAGAGAGAGAGTATACAATAAATAGGCAAGATTTTTTATGAGAATGGTGTGGAATGTGTGAAGTTCTCTCTCCCTTGGATCCGTTAGGACATTTTCTTCTCTCTGTAACAAACTAGTAGATTTGGAAATTATTCCATTGTTATGTTTGTATATGCATCCACGGTGCCACTCTGATATAGACCAACAAAACGCGGTGTGAACTTTCGAGATTTCAAAGCTCGGCCAACACCAATTACCGGCGTAACTCTCAAAAACACGTGATCTCCTCTCGAAATTCAAGTGCTTTCCTCCTCTTATCATGGTAACTCTTCTGACGACTCTGCGAAACTTTCATCTTTTCTTGGATGCTCTTGATCTTTTCAGTCGTCTCTTGCGCAATCTCAAGTTCGAGTACAACACTCTCGCCTGACTCATACCAACACAATGGAGTCTTACACTTCCTTCCATACAAAGCCTCATACGGTGTCATTCTAATACTAGAATGATAATTGTTGTTGTAGGTAAACTCAATCAACGACAAATGATTATCCCATGATACACCTTGATCCAATACACAAGCTCTCAACAAATCCTCTAATGACTGGATAGTTCTCTCTATCTGTCCATCCGTCTGCGGATGATAGGCAGAACTCAATCTCAACATGATACCCAAAGCGTCTTGCAACTCTTTCAGAATCTCGATATAAATCTCGGATCTCCATCTGACACAATACTCGACGGTATCTTATACAATTTCACAATTTCCTCAATATACATCTCAGCTAGCTTCAGCATAGAATGATTAATCCTCATTGGTAAGAAATGAGTTGATCTAGTCAATCTATCCACAATCACCCAAACCCAATCATATCCCTTCAAAGTCTTCGGTAGACCTGTCACAAAATCCATAGAAATGTTATCTCATCTCCACTCTGGAATATTCAACGGTTGCATCATACTCAGCGCTGTATCCTATTTACGCCTCCAATTCCCATAATTTCTTACAAATACCCCACATTCATTAGAGTTCTCATAATCAATTACCCTATACGGTTAAAACCTTAACAACAGATTTTGGCCATGAAGGCCTAATTTCCTTTACTCCCAAATCAACCTCAAACCTATCAGACCATCAGTTCAAATCCCTCAAACTCATTAAACTCACCATCAGAAAGGCAACAACAATTCAATACTCAAAATCCCTAAACCCTTAAATCAGCTTTAAACACATTGAATCACATATTGAAAATAATGAAGGTAATACTCCCCTGTACCTTAATTGCCGACTTTAAGCCTTTCTCCTTGATTCTTGGCAATCTCGCGAAGCTTTGCCTCAATCCTCTTCCTCAGAGCTCTGGCCTCTATTTCTTCCCTTTCACGGTCTAACAAGAATGAATCCTAATTCCCTCAAAATTCTTTTTTGCTAAACCTAACTTTGGGCCTTAAAATTGGGCTTTCCAACTTCACCCTCATTAACTCCTCCTCAAATGTCCATTTTGCCCTTAATTCACTTATATTTATTTAAATTAATAATAATACCAATATATTCATATTATATACTATTATTTAAATAAATAACCTAAAATCCGTAATTCTCAATATTTCATACCAACTACCGAAAATCACCAAAAATGCGAATATTCATATTTAAATAAATTAAATAAATATTTCAATAAATTTGGGGTGTTACAAAAATGACTTACAAACTTTGTGCCAAGTCGTTATTAGCGGTTTCCTTTTGCAAATGTCACCACTCCACAAAATATTTCTCATACATTTTTCAAGATCCTTGATAGTACTAACAGGCCAGTTATAAATGAGGAGCCTATATGTGAGCATACCATGAATGACACTTTTAATTACCCGAACTCTTCCATCCATGCTTAGTAGGGATGCTTTCCAATTAGTGAGTTTGGCTTTCACTCTATCTACTAAATGTTGGAAATACACATCCTTAGGCTTACCTTTGAAAATGGGGACCCCTAAATAAGTAAAGGGGAGTTGTCCTTCCTTGAATCCTAGAGCCTGAGCCAACAATGAGAACCTTGACGAAGTTATGGACCTTGCATATATAATAGACTTTTGAGGGTTAACATGTTCTCTTGAGCATTGAGAATATTTGAGGAATAGGCTTTTGAGAGCTTTCATATCTGAAGGCTTAGCTTTGTAGAACAATATTATGTCATCTGCATATAAAACATGGGAAGGCACAAAAGAACCTTTAGGTCCTTTGATGATGTCCAATCTGCCTTGCTCTTCAATATTTGAAATTCCTCTACTTAGAACATCTCCTGCTAAGCAAAATATAAGGGGAGGGGGTCTCCTTGTCTCACACCCCTCTTACAGTTGAAATAACCAACTTGAGCTCCATTGATGGAAATGAATAATTTAGCAGAACAAAGAATAACTTTAATCCACGAGCAAAAAATTTCACAAAAGTCAAACTTTCAACACCTTTTACAAGAAATTTCAGTCAAGGGTATCAAAGGCTTTCCTTATGTCAGTCTTAATAGCAATGTTCCCACCAAAAGCTTTATTATAAAGCAAGTTAATAGCTTCAGATGTGAAGCAAATGTAGTCAATAATTGATCTACCTCTGATAAATCCTCTATGTTCAGGAGAGGTAATTATGGGCATGATTGAGGCCAGTGTGTCAGCTATGACTTTAGAGAGGATTTTGAACTTGAAATTTGCAAGTGCTATAGGTCGATATTGATCCACTGTACTAGCATTGGAGCACTTAGGGATAAGAACCAGTGAGTTTGCATTCCAGTTAAGAAGTATCCACCATGTGAAGAAGAATTGTGTGGTTACCTTCATAACATCATATCTAATTATGTCCCAATATTGTTGAAAGAAAAAACCACCAAACCCATCAGGCCCTGGTGAGTTATCTTTATTCATGGAGAAAACAACACATTTGTTTTCCTCAGAGCTAGGAAGCATTGTCAGAAGGACATTGGATTGCTCATTGACTAATTTAGGAACTACCTCATCCACCAGCTCATTTTCAGTACAATTATTTATAGTGTTAAACAGGTTCTCAAAATGACTTGAAAAAATGTTGGAAATGTCCTCGGGATTAGTGAAGATCTCCTCCTTATGCTAAATAGATGATATCATTTTGGTACAATTTCTGATTTTGGAAATCTTGTGAGAAAAAGCAGTGTTTCTGTCTCCTTCATTATGCCATTTAACCTTTGACTTTTCTTTCCAAAATAACTCTTTCAACATTAGAGCAATTTCCAATTCCACTTGAGCCTTTTGTTCCTTTGCAAATAGATCTTCATTATGCCTTCAATTTGAATTTGGGATTGGATTGAATCCAGTTTTGCAGAGGCTTTATTTAACAGATCATGGAAATTGCCAAAACTTTCTTTGTTTCAAACCTTAAGTTTACTTTTGAGGAGCTTGTGCTTTTGAGATAGAATAAACATAGGACAACCATAAAACTCAGTGTTCCAACAGTTTTGAATCACCTTGATGCACTCATAAGGCTTAGACCACATTTTGAGGAATTTGAAGCTTGAGCTAATCTTGACACTTTGGTAATTGAAATCCAAAAGAATGGAGAAATGATCAGATTTATGTCTTGTGAGAGTAGAACAAGAAGTGGTGCTACATAAGTGAAACCAACTTTGATCACAAATAACTCTATCTCATCTTCTTTCTATGAGCTGGTCACCCCTCCTACCATTATGCCAAGTGAACTCAGCCCCTCTAGTAGGAAGGTGAATGAGGTTGTTGTAATCTGTCCAAGCTTAGAATTCCTTAATAGGTGTTCTAAAAGGGTTAGATTCACCCATATTTTCTTGTGCTCCCAATATTATATTGAAATCCCTCATATAACTCCAAGGCATACAACTGTCTTCTTCTATGAAAGGTCTTCTCTCCTCCTCCACCGCCTAACTTTTCACAGTCTTCTCTTTTTTCATGGTGTTGCCAGTTGTCATCTCCTGGTTTTATCTAGACCCTCCCATCACCAATCCTTTGGTGGAACCAACTACTTCTCATCCACCGCCTGGAAAGAAGAAATCCTTTGCCCAGGTGGTCACCAATGTTTGTGACATTTCGACTAGCCAACTCCCGCAGTCTATTGTTAAAGCAGACAAAATATCTATAACAATCCTTGAAGAGGAATACTTGGCTGGATTAGCCTCTTGCAAACACAATCTTCATGGGAAAATTATCTGGCCAAAAGGTTGTGAGGGCAAAGCCTCATATACAAGATACACGTGTTTCAATGATGTCAAAACATTGCTTCATAGAAGAATAGATGTTGGACGTTATCACCATGTTGCATGAGCATACCTTATTTCTCATGATCTATTTGCTTGCATAAAATATCTCGAGTGTTGCATATAGAGTTGCCAAAATATGTGTCATATGAGTTAAACTTCATTGGTCTATCATAGGTATCATCTAAGAGAATAAAAAGTATGAAATTAGGCATTTTCTGAAATTTCAGGTCTTTGAGTCGACCAAAACTCTGCTCCGGTCGACTCATGATATGTGTCTTAATCCTGCATTTTCTTCGGGTTAGGTATGGTCGACCTACCGGTCGACGCATACTATTGGCATTTCTATTTGTACAAGAATTCAGGCTATGCGTCGACGCATGTCTTGTTCCGGTCGACGGATGGCTGTGTGTTTTGCACAATCAGTTTTCTCGGGTTAGCTCAGGTGGACCCTGCACTCTGCATGGGTCGACCACTCGCTGTTTTATGCATATTTCCTGATTTTTCTATTATTTTTGAAATATGGTTTTATCAGTTATAACAGTTTTTTGTCTGATATAAATATTCAGCTGCTCTTTTCACTTCACATAATCACATTGAGAAAAACAAGAAAAGTGAAATAGGTGTCAATTCAGTTCTCATCATCTTCATCATCTTCATAGCATACCACAACAATCACACACAATAATCTTTGTTGTGCATTATGCATTGTTAGAGGTGATAACTTTCGAAGCCGCTGATTGGGTAATCTGGTTCGGGTTGAGGAATTGACAGGTTTTTCTTGAATAAAACCTCTAGGGTTTTGCCCTCCAAGATTCTCTAAATTTGGAGGTTTTTGCACAATTCTTCTCAACACATATTCAGCCGAGTGAAGGTAATCGATGAGCGGTGGATTTCGTTGATTTAGTAACGGTAAACAGAGGATTGTGAAGGAGAGTTTCGGGTTCGACACGCGAGTGATTGAAATCAGTCGGGTTGGGGTTTGAAGACGGAAGGTTGTTCAAACATAGAGCTGTAATAGGAGGTTTATTCACAAGTTGTCGAAGGACTTGATTCAACTCGAATCAAAGGGAAAGAGGAGATATCATCTACAACAACAAGGGTGTTCGTTTGTTCGATTACTATTCAATTCTTGTATATACATTTCTATAACAGGTTAAATTTATATTATAAGGTCTCAATTCTATTGTTAGAATTGAGGGCAGACGTACTCCGAAGCGAGGACGACGGGGGAACAGCCTCAACAAATCGTTGCGTCTTTTGCCTTACATTTTACATTGCTTAATATTTGTGGATTTTAGTGCAAACAATTATATCAGTTTAGGACCGATTTGAGTATTGCTAAACTGATTTTGAATCTAGTACAATCCTTGATTGTACGAGGAAACTTGAGCTACTCACTCAAAGCGGAACTCGCTTGTTGTGCTCTGCACGCCAAGTGTTTGAGAAATTGTCTGAACCAAAAGTCTTGTGTGCTGCCCATTTATTGTTAATATCTTAAGGCATTGGAACTAGTCATACCACATTGTGAGCCAAATCAAATTGATAGTGTGACTAGCGTAGTGATTCTCATAACTCGTTATCGGATTCCATCGGCTTGACGCATATTCGATTTTCTAGTAACCGTTTGTTATAGACGGTATAATTTCTCGGCCAGCTTCCGCAAATTAAACAATTTTTAAAAACCAATTTTATTTGGTAGCGCCGACTCTTTCTAAGCAAGCGATCTATTCAACCCCCCTTCTAGATTCACGCCATCGTCTAACAAAGGTTCGTTGTCGCTGAAGGTTGAAGCCTTGAAGCAACGACTTTCTTCCATCGCGAAGTTTTTGGGAAAACGAGACTCATCTCCCTTGGGAAAGGTTTTTATGAATTCTGCTTCTCCTCCATAGAAGTGCTTCAAAGGGTGCGCGCTGCCAACTCATGGAACTTGAACCCAAGACTCCTAAAATTATTTGCTTGGACAAAAGATTTTAACCCTAATGATCAACACTAGTTAACTGCTCAGGTTTGGATCTGTATCTCTGTGCTTGCTCAGGAATACTAGAGGCCTAAGATTCTATATGATATTGCAAGTACGTTTGGAAGTCCCATTTGCATGAATGAAACTACCACCAAGTCAATGTTTGACAGATCGTATGGTCACTTTGCTAGAATTCTAGTTGATTTAAATTTAACAGGGATCACTATAAACAACATTCTTGTCGAAAGGAAAAGCTTTGCTTTCTTTGTTGAGGTTCATTATGAGAACATACCAGACTATTGTGATCATTGTAAATTCATTGGCCATAATGTGGGGAATTGTAGTAAAATGAATAAGAATCAGAATACGACCACAATATCTGGTAAAACCCAAATTAAGAAGGTTTTGTGGAAAACAGAAAGAATCGGTATCAAAAAAGCCCCTGGGAAAGGACTCATATTCCCAAAGCTTGGAAGGCTCACCCAACTCTAAAATTGTTTCTACTAGTATAGATGCCACTCATGAAGACGTAGATGCCCCTGTTGAAATTATTTCCCCTATTTTACAACAGAATCTAGTTAGCCAAATTGAGCCCATGGTGGAGGTCCTTGATTCCCACAAGGACATGCAACAGGATTTGCTTGCTATTTCAGCAACTTCTGGCCCGATTCTATTTAGAAATTCCCCAGCTAATGGGGATGATATCACTAGCTCTAATGATTTAGAATTTGTGGATGCTACACAAATGGATGATGGACTAGTAGAGACAGTATGTAACCAAACCAACAGTAATATGTAACAGGATATGAAGTTTCTCAAGCAGTCTTAGGCCAATATATGGCAGAGGAGTCTGATAATCCTGAAACTGATAATCATTTTTAGTTAGTGGTCTCTAAGCAAACTAAGAAGAAAGAAAGATTAGCACATAAACCTTTAAAAGTAGGATCTAGCACTAAAGATAGGATATTTACTTTCAAAACTAGCAAATAAAGTGGTTATATTGAAATGTCAGAGAATTTGCCAATCAACACACAAAATTGACTTTAAAAAATCTCATCAAGAAACATAAATCAAATTTCTGTTTCATAGTAAAACCCTAAATGAAATTAGACAGGTTATTTCCCAACTTTTTCTCTAGACTAAATTTAAAAATATTTGCATCCAACACTAGACAAGGGCAATCTCCCAACCTTTGGTGTTTGCGCCTCACTTAGATCCTCATACTATAATCATAGATGACCAACACGTGTCCTTTATTATTAATGATGGATCCCACTATTTTGGTTTGGCTGCCATTTATACATACCTCTACAAACTACAAAATAAATTGCTTTGTTCACGAGCAAATTTAATGATTATTTGAACACTAGTATGTACCTTAAATTCTTATCAATAAATAACAAACCTAAGTAGCTCTCTTGTCATAATCATCATGGGGCCACAATTTCATTGCTTCATAGTTAATCAATAAAAATAGAAATAGATTATTTCAAATCATGTCACAATTTCATCCCTAACTAACCAACCATGTGTCGCTATTATTAACTTTACCAAATACAAATTTAACATAATTCTAAAGTTTAACTCATAAATCCGACTTCAAATTTCAGAGTCATTGTCACTTCCTCTAAAAAAGATTTTTTCTATTATTAATTACAACAAAAGTTTACTTCTATTTATGATATTTAACTTATTTATCTTTTAATATTAGACAAAAGTTCATTTAAATAAAATATTTTAAATAATCTAATAATTTTTTTATCCCATGACTAGTCCATAATCTTCAACACCAAACGTTAGGTGTTCTGTCTCCCACCAAATAATTCCTTTAGTAGGTGTCCTCCAAATAATATATGACACCTCAAAAGTCATTACAATCTTTGAGCTTCTCATTCTCACACATTTCCTTCACTTTACTCTCAAGCAATTTCACATTTCCATTTTCCAACAAACACTTTTTTTCACATAAATCTTCAAAATCAAACCCACAACACTTCAGATCCAAAACCCATTTTTTTTCTTCTATCAAAAATCCAAAACCATGAGATCCAAAACACAACTCTCATGCAATCTCAAACTAGTTCTCATCTCTTTCATATTCATTTTTTTCTTCATCATGTTATTCAAATCATCACTGTTCTCGTTTTCTCAACCACTCACCACAACAACCTCAAAAACCAGCAACAACCTTTCAATAATCCCATCACAACAAGAAACAGAAAAACCAACCAAATTACCAGAATGCCCCTCTCTTCCTTTATCACCAACATGCACCAAAAACCCTCCTTCATTAGTCAATGCAATAATCCATTATGCAACTACAAATATAACTCCCCAACAAACAATTCAAGAGATTTCGGTTTCGTCGAAAATTCTCCAAAAGAAATCACCCTGCAACTTCTTAGTATTCGGTTTAGGCCACGATAGTTTAATGTGGACCTCATTAAACTACGGTGGCCGAACCGTTTTCTTAGAAGAAGATAAATCATGGATAGAACAAATTCAAACGAAAATCTCGGGTTTGGAATCGTATCATGTTGTGTATGATACGAAAGTTCATCAAAGTGATGAACTAATGAGAATCGGAATGGAAGACAATTGTAAGGAAGTTAGTGATCCAAGAATTTCAAAATGTGAATTATCACACAAAGGTTTTCCTAGTGAAATATATGAAGTTGAATGGGATGTGATCATGGTGGACGCGCCGACGGGGTACTTCGACGGCGCGCCCGGGAGGATGAGTGCGATTTATACGGCTGGTTTGATTGCCAGGAACAAAGAAAATGGTGAAACGGATGTGTTTGTGCATGATGTTGATAGAAAAGTGGAAGATGAATTTTCAAAGGCTTTTCTTTGTGAAGGTTATTTGAGGGAACAAGAAGGAAGGATTCGGCATTTCAATATTCCAAGTCATAGGGCTCGTTTGGGTAGACCATTTTGTCCATGAAAATATTTATTTTTCTTCTATGATATTTTTAAATATTCATTATGCTAGTTTAAAAATTATGAATGTCTATTTTTTGTTGTTGAGGTTATATGAATATGAATTCTTTACATTTTTCAAGTTGTTAATGGATGAATGGAATAATAGATGTTATAGTGAATTGGATTTAATTTGTATACATTATATATATATATATATATATATATATATATATATATATATATATATATATATATATATATATATATATATATATATATATATATATATATGCTTTTTATATATATATATATATATATATATATATATATATATATATATATATATATATATATATATATATATATATATATATATATATATATATATATATATATATATATATATAAAAAGCATATATATATATATATATATATATATATATATATATATATATATATATATATATATATATATATATATATATATATATATATATATATATATATAAAAAGCATATATATATATATATGCTTTTTAATCGAATATATTTTATGATGTCATTTTTTAAATTAGTTTATTTTACAAATATTTTTATTTAATTTGTAAAAAACCACAGGTAAAGATCAAAATCTAACAAAACAAATTAAAAAATAGTAATATTTTCACAAATAACTATGTATTTAAACCATTAATTTACCACCAATGAAAATGATAGTAGTATTTGAAATAATAAATTATTTTTAGTTTTGTTTCTGAATTAATATGATATATTTTTGTGGATCTGAACCAAATACATGTGCCTTGTTTCAATTATGCATACATACAGGTGGAAGGGTCCACTCATAGGGTTCAAAATAAATAAATAATTTACATAAAAAATCCAACAATGATGCATGATGCTTAATTTTAAAAATCCAACCGTTTTCACAATTCCATCAACCACTTTTATATATATATATATATATATATATATATATATATATATATATATATATATATATATATATATATATATATATATATATATATATATATATATATATATATATATATATATATATATATATATATATATATATATATATATATATATATATATATATATATATATATATATATATATATATATATATATATATATATATATATATATATATATATATATATATATATATATATATATATATATATATATATATATATATATATATATATATATATATATATATATATATATATATATATATATATATATATATATATATATAATAAAAAAATGTAAAGCCTAAATCTTTAGCCTTGGCTAAAAAAAAAAATTAACTTCCTAAAATAAATGTTAGGAAATTATAGCTTGTAGAATGAGAAAAAAAACATCTCATATAAGATAAGATAGAGGTTGTAAATGGACATATCTATCCTATTTAAGTCTATCTTGCAAAAAGAACACAAAAAAAAAAGACAGGACAAACATAATATGTAAGGTGTGACTCTAAAATCTTAATCTTTCCTGCACAAAATTGCAGGTGAGACTTGCTCTTGGCATTACACCTTTTAAGTCTAAAATACATAAAATCATGTTAATACTCATATCTGCAAAAACTCGCAAAAAATGGAGTGGAACGGGACGAGGCAAAGACATTAAAGAGTGTAAACCTAAATCTTTAGTCTGTCCCGCACTTTAGTGCAGGTTCATTTTGTCACCCCTAGTATACGGTGTATTTATGCTTGAAATTGTTCAGATAATGTGAAGTCTCTTATTGACAAAAAAAGAAGAAGTGAAGTCTCTTAAACAATCTCGAAGAAAACTTATTTATTAGTCGTTTTTAGAAAAGGGATTTTTTATCCCACCTATGGGTAGAAAAATACCTTATGCAAAATCTAAAATAACTCTCACATTTCAGAGATGCAATTCGGAACATACTCTTGCACCATTGTATGACGTTTCAAATGAATGTCATCTCAGAGTAAAACAAAATTTTATTTTCGGAGATGTATCTCCGGATATTTTCAAAAAATATATTGACATTTGAGTAGTCTAATGGATATTCCGAAGATGCATTTTTGGATGTTTGAGGCGAGATTTTGAAATATATGTCACATTGGCATGTCAAGTATTTACGGAGATGCATTTTCGGAATAAGAAAATGTGATTTTGATAAAACAATCACATGCATGTTCACATACTCAGACTTATTTTTCACTCCATACCCTTTTCAAAAACTCTTATATGCGTAATCGTAATTAATAACAAAATAATTTACTACCAATTTATGTTGGATTATTTCCAATTGGGCTTACGGGGTGAGATGCATGCCCAAGCCTAGTCATAAACTCGATGTATAAATTTAGTTTATTTCTCTTACAAAATATTTGAATCTCTCTCTCTCTCTCTCTCTCTCTCTCTCTCTCTCTGTGTGTGTAACTGAAACAGATCATTCACTTTATCCTAAAAATGAATCAGAATCTTGACCTGAGTTCAGAAATTGAGAAGATTCCTTCTAGTAACTAAGTTCTACTGGTTTCTTTCCATTTGTATTTTCTTATTTCGGTTATGAAAGTTATTTTTGTTCGAAATGATGAATTATTTCTAATCTCGTCGATTTGTTTGTTGTCTTTATGTTTACTCTAGTTTAGAAATCAAGGAGATCTCTTATGGTAACTTTCTAATCGTTTCTTCCCATTTTCTAATTTTTTCTTTCAGTAATGAAATTTATTCCTGCTCGAAAATGATGAATTATTTCTAATATCATCAATTTGTCCATTGTCTTGTATATTTATTCCGGTTAAGAAATCAAGAAAATTCCTTCTGATAACTTTCTAATCGATTTGTTCAATTTAATTTTTTGGTTTTAGTTACGAAATTTATTTATGTTAGGAAATCATTCATAGTTTTGTTTCTTAGTGCTATTTATTTAATTTTCATAGTTTTGTTTCTTGTGCTATTTATTTCTAATCTTGTTATTGATATGCATTGTTGTTTTGTATGTTTATTTGAAACCTAATTATGTATGCTTACTATTAGTATATGATTTATTTATAATGGATTTTCTTTCTAATTGAGACTAGCATAACTGAGCATGCTGAGACTAGCACAACTAAGTTTCTCGAGACTGACATGACTGAATTTGCGAGACTGATACAATTGAGTGTGTTGAGACTGACACAGGCATCAGTGGTAATATACACTCTTATTTTGTGCTAACCTATACTCTATAGATATATAAATTATTTTTTGTTTATGTCTAGATCTTGTACATGCAGGTGAGATTAACTGGAGGCTTTCAATGAGAAATTTACTTTTCCTCAAGCTGAAATTTAAAGAAAGTAAGTTTTAATTTTTTTAAAATAACACTCTTTATTTGGTAGAAATTTAATAGCCTTAACCGTAATCGTAATTAACAATAAAATATTTTACTACCAATTTCTGTTGGATTATTCCAGTTGGGCCAATGAGTTGGGCCTACGAGATGAGATGCATGCCCGAGTTCAGTCATAAACTCGAGGTATAAATTTAATTTATCATGGTTAACGTTCTCATTTCTCCTCCAAAATATTTGAAATTAACTCTCTCTCTCTCTCTCTCTCTCTCTCTCTCTCTCTCTCTCTCTCTCTCTCTCTCTCTCTCTCTAAGTAACTAAAACGGTTCATTCAGTTCATCCAAAAAATGGATTAGAATCTTGATCTGAGTTCAGAAATCGTGAGGACTCCTTCTGGTAACTAACTTTTTAATCATTTCTAACTTTTTACTGTTAGACAATAGGCTTCGATCTTGGGGGTGAATTAATCACAAGTTAAAAAAAAACTTTTGGCAAAAAGTGTTTTGAAAAGTTTTATGGCACAACGAAAACAATCTGAATCGAATCGTCTAACCGAACCTCTATACAAAAGCTCGGATATATATATATATATATATATATATATATATATATATATATATATATATATATATATATATATATATATATATATATATATATATATATATATATATATATATATATATATATATATATATATATATATATGTGTCTAAAACTAGAATCTATATAATAAAAAAAATTTAAAGCCTAAGTTTTTAGCCTTGTCTAAAAAGATTAACTTCGTAAAATAAAGGTTAGAAAGTTATAGCTTGGAGAGTGAAAAAAAACAACATATCGTATAGAATAAAGTAGGGGTGGCAAACGGGCATGCCTGTTCCATTTAAATTTGTTCTGCAAAAACCCGTTAAAAAAAGACGGGACGGGACGAGCATAATGTAGGGTGTGACCCTAAAACCTTAACCTGTTCTGCACAAAATTGCAGGCGGAACTTGCCCTCGACATTGCATCTTTTAGGTCTAAAATACATAAAATTATGTTAATACTCATGTCTGCAAAAGCTCACAAAAAAATGGGGTGGAGCAGAGAGAGGCAGAGACATTAAAGAGTGCAGACCTAAATCCTTGGTTCGCCTCACACTTTAGTGTGAGTCGATTTTGTCACCCCTACTATACAATGTATTTATGCTTGAAAGTGTTCAAATAATGTGAAGTCTCTTACTGACAAAAAAAAAGTGAAGTCTCTTATACAATCTCGAACAAAACTTACTTATTTATCGTTTTTAAAAGAGGGAATTTTTATCATGATTATTAGTCGAGTTGATTCAAGTTACAGAGTTAGATTATTCGGGATACAATTTGAATTTTAAATGTGGCAGGAAGTTCGTTTTGCCGTTTAATCAGATTTCTCTACTTATTCGTTCAAGGCCATATTCGCTGACTTTATTATCGGGTACGAATTAATTTGCGAAGGAATTTGTTTGAACTGAGCAGTTACGTCGAATTTAAATCGTGCAAGATGATTAATTGTCAAATTCGGAGCTTGGAACATCAAAGGTTAATCAGATGAGTTTATTCGAACGAACTTAGTCAGATGAATTTATCTGAATGAACTAAATCAAACAAATTTATTTGGAGGAACTTAGTCAATTGAATTTAGTCAGATGAACTTAATTAAATGAATTTATTCGGTTGAGTTTAATTG